ATATATACAAAAATATGACACACGTATCCATGTGTTAATAAGCCCAATCTTCAAATAAATTCAGCCAATTAAAGTTGAAAATATTTTCTAACAAATCTTAGCTGATAAAAATAAAGCCCTAATAACATATGTGCACAAAAAAGCTTGAAATAAACCCTTCCTATTTTTGCCTTAACCCCCAACCCCAACCTGAGGCTTCTGTTTTAAATAACAAAATAACGAAACCCAATGGACAGCTGTGATAGGCTGTTTTTTAAAAAAAAGCATATTCAATTATCCAGAAGAATTTATCTCGATTGATTGATTTTGCTAACTTTATGAGGCAATATACCTATAGTGAGGGGCCAAGCCCTTCGTATGTGGCCCTCAGTAAAAAGAATGTGGACACCCCTGAGTTACGGTACATTCCCATTGTTTGATAAAGTCTCCACTTTTTTGATATGCTTGCAGCAGTCTTTATACTTGACATTCCTCTGTTAAAGGTGACCTATCCTGCAAAATGCACTTTTGTACGTCTTTTATACATGAATATGTGTCCCCGGTGTTCCAGACAATTCAACAAGTGTCAGAAAACACAACCCTCTCTCTTTTCCTCCATACCCAAATCTCTTAAAAAGGGGCTGCAACGGATCTGATACAGACTGATACAGATTTGAACACTTCTGTGACATCACAGAAGTGGCGCTACGTCTATTGGGCCAACTCCACCAATCAGGACTCAGCCTCGGACATTGCCGTTCGAAAGCGCTGGAGACGCTGTAGTACATATGCCAGGCCTGTAGATGGTGCTGTTCTCACAGAATCAGCCCATGCAAAGACAGTGTTAAATTGAGCGAAATGAGGAATGGCTAAAATGCATTTTAGCCATTCCTCATTTCGCTCAATTTAACACTGTCTTTGCATGGGCTGATTCTGTGAGAACAGCACCATCTACAGGCCTGGCATATGTACTACAGCGNCCACCTCGGCGTCACTGCGCAGGAATTTTGGGCCTCATTGAAGGAAAAGCCAAAGGAAGCAGATTTGCGTTACGTTAAAGAGGATCCGTAAAAACCTTTATCGAGCTTATTCCAGACACCAACTGTGTATAAATTTACCTAGGGCAAAACAAGTCGCTATTATAGGTGTACAGTTGGGATGAAAATATTAAAAACTTAATCTATTATAGATCAGCGTCTTGTTTACGATTCAATACATTATGCTTGATGTCGCTAATGTCGCGTCCAGCGTGCTGAAAGTTGAGTGCGGTGAATTCTAGCAAAGTTGACTGAAAGCGCGGAACGTATAAAATTGTTTCGAAAAGTAAACTCGTGGTGACATAAATGATCTTAGTACCGTACACAGTTAATGGCCGACTCTAGGACAAATGTTTCTAACCTGGTTTCTTCCAACACATATCTCCTCTCGTCGGAATGTATCCGTGATTTGTCACGTCATCTACTTCCCACACCGAATGGCCACAAACAGTCAACGATCGTTACTTCCTGATTCCGAAAATAATACATACCAGAACTAACACTCATCACTACGCTCTCATGGTAATTCGATCTCAATTAAATAAGGCGAATTAAAGGGTAGTTGTTTAGGAAAATACACAGTTACATAGAAAATAATGTTCATAATGTGTGGTCTTTTGGCCTTTAAGCTATATATTTAGGTAGTCATCCATTAATTGTTAATTTCCGCTATTAACCCTTCCGTAATGTCTTACATTTAAGTAAAAATTTATTATTTGTTAGGTGGGGTGCCATAATTGTCCTTCTCCCTTAAGAGAGGTGTTTACACCTTACGGTGTAGGGAAGATATGATTGGTCAATTGTACTGTCATTTGACATTACTCTCTCATTCAGTTACTATAGCTGGGCCCTCTGTGAGTTCATAGCTGGACCCCCTGGACGTCCAACAGCTCCTCTCTTTAGAGACGAGCTTCTTTCATTTAACCCTTCACATTCCAACAGAAACTGAATAGGCAGATTCTAAGGATTTATTTCTTTGGAAATGTTATTTTAAATACAATTAAATCAAGTCATTTTGGTAAAACTAATGAAAAATATAAGTAACAAATATATTAAATTATTTTTAATTTAAAAAATATATATATATATAATTTTTTTTAAATGTTTTTTTATATTATTTTGTAGAATATCTTGGGCCCTCACAGAGGGCTTAGATGGCCCTGACGGCTCGCCACTGCCTTATCTACACTGTAGCTACTGTGCATATGACAATAAATCCTTTGAATCTTGAATCTTCAGATTTTTGAAGTATAAATGCTATAGCCAGAAGTACAAATCTGTCTTTAGGCTATACAACAAACCAAATCACGGTTGCATGACTCCACGTTAACACCGCTTAGCCAAAGACAGCTAATGTTTGGTGTGATGATGTTTAGTGGGTTTTTTAGTCTCTTGTAAGCAACTGCTTTTTGAGACCGCTGTTTTTAGATTCTGACATTCAAGAGTGGAGTATTTACTGACATTGTTTTTGCCGTAATTTAAACCAGCCTGTCCTCTTCCAAAAAACTACCAAATAGGTCGATTGTTCAGCAGCTTATTACAACCTACAGTTTAGTCACCTTTTAAAGTTTAGCACCTCTAGTGGTCGTGTAAGAAACAACAATTTGCGGCATAATGCTCCCGTTAATTTCAAACGCTCCGGGGGGTCATATATTCACAAATAACCGTCTCTGGCAAATCCTAAATTGTTTGGCCATTAAAATGCTTTTTGATTTGATTTCTAGCGAGAAGTGTATATTGTACTTTTAGAATCCACGTCCAGTGGATGTGTAGGATCTATAGTTTGATAGATATTACGAAGATGATTTGAGGTCTCGCCAGGAGGACGTTAATATACTACGTCTTTCCCCACAGCGTCCATGTAAAGTTAGCGTCAACCCTCACGGGGTGAAAACAGTATTTCCGGTCTCGAAGTTTTCATAATAAAACCTGATGTATTCCCCTCACTGTCAAATGATTACACAGTGATATATCTGCATTACTCATCCACTAACACATCAGTTTATCCTTGTTAATTACACAATATTGATTGGTTTAAATGGTGTACAATGCTTTTGTGTTTTTAACCTTCGATTCGGAGAAACAAATTGTTTTTTACATGCCAGCGATTCCCATCTTGAAAATATAAAACCAATAAAAATCCTTTGTTTATCGTATAAATTTTTTTACGTGTAAAAGTAATTCAAATTTAATAAGTAATAATTGTTTTTTGTAGGTCGTACTCTCAACACGTGAGAGTGAGACCGAAAATTTTCGTTTAAATTGACACTTCCAGACGTTATATAGGTTTTATTACCCCCGTGAGTAAGAATTTTATTCTATCCAATTAACACTAAAATTTCAAACGATTACGCAAGTAATGACACTTGAGTGTGTAATTTTGAGTACTATAAGTTGACGAACATAAGTTAGCGTCTGACCTTGGTCTTTAGGGTCTTGTCTTTCACTTCGTCCTGTTTTTAGAAGGTACCGTTGGTTCCACACCTAAGCGGAAGGCAGACGCCAAGTCTCAAAACTCCGCTCTCAACGGCTTCACGGCCTTTCGTTCGTCCTGACTATACAATGTTTCCCTAATTAAACAAACGGGGTCGAAACCGAACTACTAGCGAAGGATAAACGGTATCACAGAACAAATTCACGGAGCAAGGTTTGTTTGGGTAGTCAGTCCTTTTTTACAGTCGACGACGGTCCAACTATGGTAACCGTCACTGTAATCTACTCTTTATTTCGCTTCTTGTAATTTTATTTTAATTTTATTAGGTTCTGACACCCAGGCAGTGCGCATTTCTCAGGGGCCCCTTTAACGCTCGGACCACAAATGACAGGCCAACCCCAATAACCGTCCCTAACCCGTCCCCACTAAAATGATAGCACATGTAATACTACAACAAACAAACATAGTAAAAAGATATATAATCATACAAGTCTTGTGTTCAATTAGAAGGTAAAAGACTGAAACCAGTCCCATACCTGTAATGTTGAGTTTAGTAGGTAACGTTTCTTTTCAATTGCTCTTGTGAAAACTCGAGAATCGGGGGGAGTCTTATAAGGGTAGTTTCCTTTACGGAAAGTTTTGCAATATTGGTACTTACATAGACGTCTGAATTGTACAGGTAGGGGAGTTATTTAACCTTTTCTAGAGCTAGTGGGACGTGCGGCTGAAGACCAGAGTTAGACTCTTTAGAAAAAAAAAGCAAGAGGTATAGTTGGTTGTGGTGTACGTGGATATGTTAAGTCCAATAAGGGTCTCCCGTGATTGTCCCTTTCCTACAAATTTTACCCAAACCTCTAAGAT